CGACTTCCTTCCCTTTGGTCTACTTCCTGTCCTTTGGTCTACTTCCTATCCTGTGGTTTCCTGTCCTCTGGTCGACTTCCTGTCCTCTGGTCGACTTCCTGTCCTCTGGTTGACTTCCTGTCCTGTGGTTGACTTCCTGTCCTTGGTCATTACAGACAGCATGGCGGAGCAGAACCTCCAGGCCAAGCTGAAGAACCTGCTGAAGCAGGAGAAAGTTCAGCTGTGGAATCCTCCGTTCACCCAGGAGGACGACCAACCGAGCGCCGTGCACCTGCAGGTGGGTCGGAGTGAGACTGCGCTCTGATTGGCTGAAGGAGAATGTCTCCACAGAGTCTATAGGTCGGTTTTCCCAACCCTGGTCCTCCAGACTCACTGCCCTGCGTATTTTAGAGGTTCCCCTGCTTTAAGACGCCTGATTATTCACCTGATTGCAGCTCAGCAACCAGCTGCCAGTTGAAATCATCTGGGCTGTAGCAGGAAACACCTGAAACCTGCAGGCAGAAAGTCTGGAGGAGCCGAGCAGGGAAACACGGAGCTGGGTCAGCCTGAGGAAACACCTGAAGGGTTTACAGGATGAGGAGGATTAACAGCAGCTGCAGATCAGAGAACAGTTTGATCTGGAGAAACAACAAACTGCCAGAGATTGGATATAAATTCAGTAGCAAAGATCATTAAAATTAGTCTCATTTTAATGAGTTTTTTGTTTTAATATAACGAGAAAGTCTTGTTTTATAAAATAAAATCTTCCCCTTCCTAAATGATGGCCTAAGTCATTTTTCTTTTTCAAACTTAACTTGAGTCACGATTTTAAGGTGACGATTTAAAACTCAACTTATAATGTTAAAGTTTCTCGTCTTATATCTTGCTTTAATGAGGAAATTCCTCAAGGTTGAGTTTTATATCGGTTTAACAAAAATCCTTCTCATTTTAGAGAGATTTTTTTATTCCAATCTTACAGGCTTCCCCTTGTTTTGACAGCTTTTTTTGTTCAAACCTGATTCTGCTCCTCAGTTTATCTCCAGATTCTGGCAGTGAAAGTCTTCCGTAGATTAAGTGAAACAGGTGAATTAAATGTGGCTCCTGGTGGCTTACAGCAGCGTCTCGATCTGATGTTCTGTCCTCCAGGAGCTGGCGCAGCACTACGCCCCGCTCCTGGGCCTGTCCGCGGAGGAGGTAGGGGGCGCTCTGGAGTCCATCCGGGCTCAGGCGGTGGCCAGAGGGAAAGGCAACCGGACCTTCAGGGAGACCAGCGTGGCGACGCTGGAGCTGCTGCTGCCCAGAGAGGCCAAGAAGGTCAGGAGGGCATTTTCCCCTGGTGGGAGGAGTCAGAGTGGAGCTGGTGGGAGGAGTCAGGTGGGAGGAGTCAGAGTTGAGCTGGTGGGAGGAGTCAGGTGGGAGGAGTCAGGGTGGAGCTGGTGGGAGGAGGCAGGGTGGAGCTGGTGGGAGGAGTCAGGGTGGAGCTGGTGGGAGGAGTCAAGGTGGAGCTGGTGGGAGGAGTCAGGGTGGAGCTGGTGGGAGGAGTCAGGGTGGAGCTGGTGGGAGGAGTCAAGGTGGAGCTGGTGGTTTGGACTGAGGTTCTGCTTCTGCTTCCAGGGTTCGAAGACAAAGACTCACCTGGAGACTCGGCTGGACGTTCCGCTGCAGCAGCTGGTGGACAGGTACAGTCGCCTCACCTGGTGGTGATGTCATAGCCCCGCCCACCACTCTGAGGCTGTTTGTGTTTCTGCAGGATCGCGGAGGATTTCAGCCTGAAGCACATCAAGCTGATCCTGAACGGCAGAACCCTGCAGCCCGGTCGGTACCGCCGCCTGTGTAATGCTGAAATCATTCTGCAAAATATTAATTTACTGAGAATAACGCTTCAGACCGAGTTAAGATTATTGGTTACCATGGCAACGTCAGGCACCAGTTATGTTGGGAAAAGTAACAAAAACAGATCAACGGATTCTGTTTCTGTTTATTTGGGCTGATGTTGATGGTTCTCAATGCACCTGCAGTTTAAACTGGTTCATGTTCTCACCACAGAAACCCTCTCACACTGGTCGGGTTCATCTATACTCGGTCGGTCTGTAGACTTCTCCACCAGTCCAATCTGTTGTTTGGTTGGTGCTGATCTCATATGAGAGTTTCCAGTAATTATCCACATCCTCATCTTTCCAAATCCGTAGTTCTTCCTGACATTCCAGGTGTGATCGACCCAGTTCATTTTCTTTTTGACTAAAACATGCATCATAATTAATAATGTCTGTAATAACTGGTCTGCAGCCGTCAGAGGAGCGGCCGGTTCTGACCCGCCTCCTCTGTCTGCAGACCGGCGACTGGACGAGCAGGGCGTGAAGAACCACAGCAAGGTCATGGTGCTGAAGGTCAGCGACGCCGAGCAGGTCAGCAGGGAGGAGGACGAGCAGAAGAGCCAGAGCCAGAGCCTGCAGCGCACCCAGAAAGGCTTCCAGATCCTGTCGGAGAGAGGTGGGTCCGGGTCGGGCCGGGTCAAAGGTCGGCCGGCTCCTGACCTTCATGGATGTTGTGTGTGTCAGACGGCAGCGAGGATCCAGAGACCACGCCCTTCCTGGAGATCGCTGACCAGAAAGGAAACCCGCTGAAGATCCCACAAGACGAGAAGAAGGTGAGGCTCGGTCCAGACATCAGAACCACTCAGAACCAGAACCAGTCAGACCCCTTCAGAACCGTTCAGAACTTCAGGACCAGAACCGGTCAGAACCCTTCACAGGTTCTCTGCATTCTGGCTGAAGGTTTGATACCAAAACCACAGCAGGATGAAGATCTGGTTCTGTACTGGTTTCACTGGGAATCTCACCGCTAACTGAAGAGCTAGCTGTGCTAACGCTAATCCACTAACATTACTCCTGCTAAAGCTACAAACATGCTAATATTAACATAGTATTACTGAAAGCTAATGCTAAAGTACTATATCAATATGGTGTTGGTAGAAGCTAATGCTAAAGTACTAATCCCAAATGTTAGCTGTGCTAAGCTAACAGCTTTTTGGTTCAGCTCTTTGGAATCAGTCGAGAATAATTACTGCTGAGATGGTCCAGTCCAAGTTAGGACCAGCTCCCTGCCTGGCCCCGTTACCTGCTCAGGTTCTGGTGTTGAGCCCGGTTCTGGTTCTGGCCCGACCCGGTCCATAACGGCCCCTGTCTCCAGGCTCTGATCCTGGCCATGGGGTTCCATGAGAAGGGCCGCTCTCTGATGAAGAGGAGGCAGTTTGACTCCGCCCTCTGCCACCTGCTGCAGGCCGACCAGCACTTCAGGTAGGAAGCCCCGCCCCCCGCACCTTTCACAATAAAAGCTCTGTTCACGCCTCGCCGTCCTGCAGTCGGTGCGGCTCGGCGATGCTGGGCTCTGTGGACAACTACGCCGTCCTGCAGCTGGACATCGTGTGGTGCTACCGGGCCCTGGAGGCACTGTCCTGCCTGGAGGACGGGCGCAGCCGGCTGCAGCGCGCCGAGGACTGCTTCCTGCGCTGCTACGGCGAGCAGCAGCAGCGCCTGCTGATGATCAAGGTCCGGGAGCCGCCGCACGCACCGGCCGCCGCCACTGGGGGGAGCCACTGCTGAACGAGTGTCTGTTTCCAGGGCAACACGGGACGAGAGGAAGTCCTGTTCCTGCGTCTGTACCTGCTGCAGAGCCTGCTGTCCTTCCTGGAGGGAAACGACCGCCAGGCCCGGGTTCTGCTGGCCAAGGTGGGTTTGGATGGGTCCAGGTGGGTCCGCTGAAGGTCCAGATGGGTTCCCTGGTCCTCTAAAGGCCCCAGCAGCTCTCTGTGGTTCCAGTCTCTGTGCTGGTTCTGACCCGACGGCCCGTCTCGTCTCAGGTGGAGGACCTGTATGGCCGTCTGGTTCCGGACTCGGAGAAGATGGACCAGCTGCTGGTTCTGGGCTTCTCTGAGCGGGAGGCCCGGTTGGGCCTGCGGGCCTGTGGAGGAGACCTGCAGGCGGCCGCCGTCCTCATCAGCAACCGGCGCCAGGTAGGGTTCTGATACGGTACCAGTAGAACCGGTCCTCTCTGGTTCTGACCCGGTCCTGTTTGGTCCAGGAGCGTGAGGACCAGCAGCAGAAGGAGCACCAGCGGCGGAGGACGAGGATGGAGGACGTCTCCCGGCTGGTGGAGCTGGGCTTCTCCAGGACGGACGCGGCCAGAGCGCTGCACCGCGCCCAGGGGGACGTGGACAAGGCGTCCGCGGTCTGTCCCCGACCCGCCGGGCCTTGGGACAGAACCTGGACCCGACGAACGCCTGACCGCTTTCTGTCTGTTCCCAGATCCTGCTGGACTCGTCCCAGACGTCCCCACAGGACGCTGTCTGTCCAGAGAAGGTGGAGCAGGTACTGTCTCTCTGTCCAACTGATGTCCTCCAGTCAGAGATGTCCCTCGTCTGTCCCCTGTCCTCCAGCTGCTGTCCCCTAACCTGTCTGTCCCCCGTCTGTCCCCTGTCCTCCAGCTGCTGTACCTGGGGTTCCAGAGGGCCCCGGCTGAAGCGGCCCTCAGGTTGTCTGGAGGAGACGTCCAGTCTGCAACTCAGCTGTTGTTGGACAACCAGGGTGTCCTGTCCCCAGACCTGCTGTCCCCGCCATCCACGTCCTCTTCGTCCTCCTCTCCATCCTCTGAGGAGGCTGGCACCTCGTCCACCTCCCCAGGTAAGGTGGTGCTCTGGGGGTCCAGCAGGTGGCACCGTGGACCCATCCTGATTGTCCTCCTGTCCTGTGTCTCCAGAGGACAGCCAGCTGGTCACCGAGGTCTTGGAGGATATTTCCCGCCACGAGGAGGACTACCTGGACCTGACCCTGGAGGACGAGAGCCAGCTGATTTCCACCCTGAAGACGTATCTGGACCGAGGCCCGGCCCGCTCCGTCTGAGTCCGCATGGGGCCCAAACGGGAC